CTCAATGTGCAGTCAGGTCAACTACAGCTGATAGCCCAACCAACGCCAGGCCGGAAGCTTCCTATCTTGTGCCATTTGGACCATCTCTGATATGCTCAAGCCCATCATTACAGTCACTGGGTCAGTCCATCTTGTTTAGGGGCTTTCTCTCTTTTGCTGACCTTCTACCTTTCCATGTGTGACTTTTCTTTTTCTTCCCAAAGAATGAACCTTCCTGGTAACATGCGCAAAGGATATGAAATGACATTTCCTCATCTTTACCTCTGAGAAATACTCTGGTTGCGCTTCCTCATGATAGACTTACTTGCTATTTCGGCTGTCCATGGGATAGTCAAAGACATCCTTTCTCTGTTGTTGCCCAGTTCTCAGGTGCGTAGGAAGCACTGAAAAAGACTATGGCTTAGATCGGGCATATCTTAGCCTTCAAGGTGATATCATCATATTTAAGCACTTTGGAGAAATTTCTGACAGTGAATTTTCCCAGTGCAACATGTCTTTCGATTACTTGACTACTGTTACAGCAAGTGTTGGTTGTGGATCCAAGTAAAATGAAATAATTGACAAACTCAATATTTTTTTGCACCTAATATGATGTTTCTTATTGGTCCAGTGTTGAACATTTTTGATTCTTGTTGTTGAAATGAATCCATGTTGAAAGTTGTAGTATTTGATCTTCTTCAGTGCTTCGAATCCTTGGCACTTTCAGCAAGCGAGGTTATCAAGCGCATCCTCCATAAAGAAAGCACAAGTTCATTACAAATACAGGAGAGAAAGAAAAGACCTAAATGTGCATCAAAAGAAACTCTGAAACTTCCTGTCCTAGAACATAGAACCAAAGGGAGGAAATGCTGAAGTAAGTGAAATGAATAGAAGATTTCAAAGAGTAACTTGAGAAGACAAAGTAAATTATTATCATGACCTTGATCTTCACTGTTGTTGTTGTTAAGTACCATTGAGTCATAGGAGACTCAAGTTGTAGATGACTCATAGTGACCCTATGAACAAAAGTCCTCGACACTTGAGTGACTTCCATCCTTTCTCCAGGTTCATAGGGTTTCCAGAGGCAAGCTATTTACGGAATTGAGTGCCACTCCTGCTTTAGCAAGTATTTTATGTCTGTATTTCTTTGATTTAGCAAGATTGTGCCATCTCTATGTCACAGGTTTTTAGAGAGTTTTCCCTCCATTCTGCCACATTTTCACCCTGTATTAATAATCTTCTCATACTAGGGAGCTCTGGTTTATTCACCATTTAGATTAAGAGTGCCAAAAGGCTATAGCCATGCCACTGTAGCAAGTAGAAATATGTTGTTGTTATGTGTCATCGAATCTCCTACAATTCTTAATGACCCTATATGCTCTGAACTCTACTCTATGCTGACTTGTCTCACTGTCTCAAATACACTTACCCCCATTGCCCCAGTTACTGTGTCAATCTATCTCATCCAAGGTCTTCCTCTCCTGCAGTCTCCCTCCACCCTTCCAAACATGATGTCTTTCTTCATGGACTTGTCCTTCATGGTCACATGCTCAAATCCTTTCCTCCAGGGAGCAGCCTGGTTTCGCCCTCTCTAAGACAGATTTGCTTATTTTTTTTGGCTTTCCATGGTATGCTCAATACTCTTCTCCAGCACTACAACTCAAAATCATTTATCCTCCTTCTGTTATTCTTAGTCATGGTCCAGCTCTCTGATGACTAGCAAAGAGTTGTAAAGGCCATGGCCTGAATCAGGTGTACCTTGGTCTCCAAACTTACATCATTGGAGAAGTCTCTGACAGCAGATTTCCCCAGTACAATTTGTCTTTTGATTTCTTGACTGCTGGTACCAAGAGTGTTGATTGTGGAGCCAGGAAAGCTGAAATTGTTAACAGCCACAATTTCTTCTCCGTGTCTCATGGTGCTGCCAATTGGCCTGGTGGTTAGAATCTTTGTCTTCTTGATATGGAACTTCAATCCATATCGAAGACTACAGCCCTTAAACTTCTGCAGCAACCACTTCAGGTCCTCATCATTTCAGTGAACAAGTCTGTGTCATCTGCATAACACAGATTGTTGAAGAGTCTTCCTCCAATCCAGATGCAGTATTTCTCCTCATAAAGCCCAGGTTCTCGAATAATCTGCTCTACATAGACACTGAAAAAGTATGAAGATAGGACACATCCTTGATGTTCTCCTTTCCTGAAATTAAACCATACGGTGTTTCCTAGCTCTTTTCTGAGGACTGATTCCTGATCCAAGTATAGGTTTCCCATGAGCACAATCAAGTGTTCTGGAATTCCCATTCTTCTCAAAGTTGGCCACAGTTTGTTATGATCCACAAAGTTAAATGTAGACAGTCAAAAATACAGATCTAGACAGTAAAGAATTGAGTTATGAGCTACAATCTAGAAAGATTGTTAAAGAGTTTAAAAAGTCAGCAAAGTGGGTGAAGATCACAAGTTGATGGAAGAAGTAGGACTTGAAGAATGGGAGAATTTGGAGATGTGAAGAATACTCAGACTTGGGTATAGGTGGGAACATCTTCCTGAGAGAGGGTGGGGATATGAATAAAGTCAGCTGTAATTCATTTGGAGAAATGTTAGAACATGATCAGATTGAAATTGCATCACGACTACCATGGGCACACCATGTTCTATCAGCTAGAGATGCCTAACTGAGGAATTTTGTAAGACTTTGACTCATATTGATTTTTCTAATCTTCTCAGGACCTTTGGAAGACTTTGACTAATTGATTTTTCTAGTATTCTCAGGACCTAAGCAAATTATTGCTGATGTGTAAATGTTTATCTTATTACTTGGTGGTTCTGTGTGGATGAGTTTGAATACTATAAGTACTGGAAAGCATCTTTCCTCAACTCAAAGTTGTCTCTGGATGATAGAGATGACTCCACAGATGGAGGAACGTCTTAAGATTGGACTGTTCATGTATACTTCCTCATAATGAAGCAACTTAACTACTGTGCCATTTATTTTGGTGGTTTTACCAAGAGAAGATAAAGAAATATTCCAAGTCTCCAATATCATAGCAAATCTGAAGGTATATAATTGACCTTTATGCTTTTTATGTTTTTATTTTTAGTTCTATAAATACTAATCTTATCCTATTATCTTATCCTATTAGTTGCATCTTGATATTTGTTCATCATACTCAATCCAAAATTTGCCTTAATTCAATTATGAACTAATTTCTAACTAGAAAATGTTTTGTACTATAAATTCATGTTTTTAAGATAATAGACACCATTCTGGTCTATGGTAGTTCTAGGAACTCATAAATCCTATTTAACCCTGGATTCTAAAAAGATTATTGGCACAATCTGACTCCTTTAAGGAACTCTCGTGGTCTAGTTGGTAAGACATTGTGCTACAAACCCAAAGGCAGGTAGTTCAAATCCACAAGCTGTTCCTTCGGGAAAAGATAGGAAATCTCTTGTGCTAATTATAGTTTCTAAAAACCCACTTAAGGGTCAGCTCTGCATTGGTTCCAGCTCAACAGCAATGAGTTTTGGGTGTTGGGTTTCTTTTTTAACCCTTTCAGTCAACATGCCAATGAAGGGAAAGATCCTGTGTTCAATCCGTAACAAATGTGACTAAGACCTCTAGGGGCCAAACACGGCCATGTCTCCCATTCTGAGGGTTGGAATCTTCTTAGGGATCCCATCTGTTCAATTCCAAGATTAACTAGGGAAATTATGAGAGTTTTCACAACTCCTCTACTCTTCAGCTTGCAAGCTCTTGATATTAGCAGATGTTCACCTTCAACTGTTGGACCTACAGCTAAATTCCATTTTGTGCTTGTACTTAAAGATTTCCCAAAATAATTTAGAGCTAGCAGAAGGAATATATCTGGAAGATACTTAAGGATATTCTAGGATCTTCCTTAAGTTTTATCACCTCATTTTGACTACTGTGCCCTTGATATATCTGAAGCAAATAATCAGATCTACAGAAATATGTCTACACTTATAACTGGTGGCAGGCTAGTATAAAAGTACATTCTTAAACTCAGAGTGGTAAATGGACAAAGGAAACATTAGAGCAACTTTACGCTTTGTTCTGAAAAAGAAAAAAGGATTTTCATCATAATATCTGTTAACCTAGTAATAAAGCCCAAGTCTTTTAACTTTTCTGTAGATATCAGTCACATGTGTAGAAAAGAGACAAAAACAATCCTACCAGTATGGTAGCACTGTTAATAGAATTTCCCTAATAAATTTTGAGCTTCTGTAATATTTGTCATATGCATTATATTCTCACAGCATAGATAGTGGCTACTATAATAATGATGTTGATTCTTTCATTTCCTCTCCTTTACTCCTCATATTTCAGTATCCACACGCATGATTTGCCAAGTAAACATGGATAAACCATCCATCTGGCTTTCAGATTAATTTTGCGCAGCAAAAGGACTCCTTACACCTTCCTATAAACCAAACCAATTGTCTTCAAGTCCTGTTGTGTCAGAGTAGAGCTGTGTGGCAGACGGTTTTCCATGGTTATAGCTGTTGCTCTTAAATAATTCAAATCATCATCTTGGAGATGATATTGAAGTTTATTACTACATGTTAGTCTGAGCAAAGTGCTTGGAATAAGGTAAGACATCATTTCCAGGACACAGAACGCAGAGAACC